GATTTGGGATGGATGAGCCTACATGAGTGCAAAGTTTGCACCTGTTATTTTCTGGTGGAAATAAAAATCGGACCAAACCAACTATAAAGTCAAGTTTTTATATAATGTTTAATTTATCATTTTTAGTTTTTACGTTTATCTTGAACGGGAAAAAGTTCTGAAAAAGCAAACGAAGTGAATTTGGTCTATTGGTTGTTACATGGTAATTGCATACTAATATAGACAAATAGGCTACCTACCTGTAAAAATGAATGAGAAAATGCAAAAACTAGTGTTTTCAGAATTCAATTAACCAATGGACTATTTCTCTCATCACACACTGGGTAGTCGACTAGTCTACAAATCACACCTACTTCCAGACAGCGCAGGGTTGGGCGGTCAACCAATGTCCTTGGAAAGCACAACAAAGCACTTGTTCACAGACACAGAACCGTCTCTGCGCGTGGGACGGGACGAAAGAGGGAGCCACCACATCTAAAGCAGGTCACTAATAAAGAGGTTAATTTCGTTGCCAAGTTTATTTCAACCTCTCTGGTCTACATCTTTACGGATACAAAGTAAACTTGCAGAACAACGGTGATTTCGGCACTGCCTTAAGCGCCAACACCCGTCTGTTTTTTCCCTTCTACTTTCAGGTAAGTGAAATGGGCGTTAAGTCGACTTTAAACCGTTAGGAAGCGAAATAGTAACCTATATAAATGGGTAGACTTCATTTTAACATTTAGTTTGAGGACTTTTCCCACTGATTTGTACACTCTACAGGGGTTCAAAGTCAACAGTTTAGAAGACCTAGTGTTCAATTGACTACATATTGAACACCATGTCTTCTAGACCAGGGTTTCCCAAACGCGGTCCTGGGGCCCCCACTGGGTGCACGTTTTGGTTTTTTGCCCTAACACTACACAGCTGATTAAAAGCTTGATGATGAGTTGGTTATTTGAATCAGCTGTGTAGAGCTAGGGCAAAAACCAAAACGTACATCCAGGGGGTGTAGGACCTAGTTTGGGAACCCCTGTAGAGTGTACAGTAAGTGGGAAAAGTCCTCAAACTAAATGTTAAAATGAAGTCTACCCATTTAAATAGGTTATTATTTCGCTTGTAAATGTTTTAGGCTACGTTTTGAGTATTTTATCATTAAAATCTAGGTTTTCTTTTGGTCCATTGTCAACTGTTCTGTTCTCTCACACAAGCTAGCAATTGTGCCTGCTCTGAGAGAGGTGAAGTGTGCTCGTGGGGCTTGAGGGGGGCTCTCACAGGTGGGGCCTGTGGGGGTTTCCGTTTGCATTGTTAGTAGCTTTTCTCTGTTATTTCAGTTATTTCAATTGTACATCCTGTATTAGGAAAACATGCCTAGTGGTTGACATGGTTGACTCTTCAAAAAACCTGATTTTATTTCTTACATAAAATCAGATAGCCTATAATGGGAACATCTCAGGCTAAAAAGTTTAAATAAATTGGCTTTATACCCATTTGTGTTCTCTAAGGGTGAAACATTCAGTTATTTAGCCCTGTATTGAGATATTGTGAGAAAGTATTTGCTTGTACTGCTTAATCCTTCATTTCGATTTATTATAGTGCTCCTCTCTGAGTGTTTTGAAAAGCAGTGTAACTAGAGTAGCCTACTACTAGCTGTGCCAAAGTGCCCCAGCCTTAGCCTACATTAGGCAGGGGGATAATCGTTTTTGACAGATGTGAGGCATGTGATTCAGGGTTGGAATTCTGTTATCAAGAAGAGATGATTGAGTGTGTGGCTGTCTGCACTGGATGACAGCAGCTCAGTGAGTAGTGGGTGGCTGATCTTTGACCCCAGCTAAACAGCCTCCTCTATCACTGTGGTGTTTGGTTGAAAGACCATTGTCTGTTTCATCGAGGCAACATTTACATGGAGCTCTGAGCTGTAGGCTGCTGTTAAACTGTATTGTATTATTTTATTTTATTTATTTGACCATTTAAAAACACAATACAACCACATGTGGATACAACCAGGGATGGAAATGAAGCTGTTAACAAACACTGTATACCCTCAAAACCTGGTTAAAATGATAATTTTGATATCATGGATGGTCAGTCCTTGCATCCATAGCCCAGTCTATGAATTTGAGAGTGGAAACATTTCTCCAGGCCCATCCCTCAGCTTTTTATCAAAACAGAGGCGGGGAGAGGCTTTGTTATTGTTTCAATTAAGGACTTTAGCTTTAAAGCATTTTGCCCATTTAACCATTTCTAAAGGTTTGCCTTAAAACTCCCGAACATAGGGGTGGGTTTGGCTCTTCTGTCAACATGTCCAGTCAGAGGTGTTTCTTTTGGTGAGGCAGTATCACCACGTACATGCAGAGCAGAGGCCTGGAAAGGTGTGATGGACCCAGGTGTCTAAACTTTACACACTGCAGAGGAAGTTATTTCCAATATGCTGTGATGATGATTGAAGCTACTAGGCAGGCTATTGATAAACAAAGGTGGAACCCCCTTCAGAAGACACCTGATCCTCCTGCCCAAATGTACCCCTCCCTCCCTCCCACAGTATCCACACAAGAGAGCTCTTGTTGGATCCTTTCTTTACTGTGGCCAGTTTTTTTCTTCCTAAATACTATGGCAACCACAATTCCCTCACCTAGAAGTTAGAAGTCTTGACTTTTCCCCTCACCCTCCAAAGACAAGAAGTTAGGGCGCGAGGAAGGGAGGGAAGGGGTAAGAGGCGGTGAGGGATGACGGAATGAAGGATATGGAGTGGGGGATGGGATTATGGGAGGAAGGGGGGAGAGGATGAGGGAAAGGTGTCTGCGAAGGAGGCTCTCAGGCAGGCGAGACCCCTGCTGAACTGAGTCATAAAGACAGAGAAGTAATGGCTGTACTGGGTTGAGCCAGGCCTGTCTGTTTTGTTTGTCCTCCATGATGTAAAGCTTTGGGCCGTTCACAGTGTGTCTGTGAGTGTGACTGTAAGGAAACAGGGAGTTCTTCACCCCAGCAGACAGGCAGGCGGGAAGACAGGCAGGCGGGAAGACAGGCAGGGAGGAAGACAGGCAGGCGGGAAGACAGACAGGCAGGGAGGGAGGAAGACAGGCAGGGAGGGAGGAAGACAGGCAGTGAGGGAGGAAGACAGGCAGGGAGGGAGGGAGGGAGGGAGGGAGACTGGAAGACAGGCAGGGAGGAAGACTGGAAGACAGGCAGGGAGGGACGAAGACAGGCAGGGAGGGAGGGAGACTGGAAGACAGGCAGGGAGGAAGACAGGCAGGGAGGGAGGAAGACAGGCAGGGAGGGAGGAAGACAGGAAGACAGGCAGGGAGGGAGGGAGACTGGAAGACAGGCAGGGAGGGAGGAAGACTGGAAGACAGGCAGGGAGGGAGGAAGACTGGAAGACAGGCAGGGAGGGAGGAAGACAGGCAGGGAGGAAGACTGGAAGACAGGCAGGGAGGGAGGAAGACAGGCAGGGAGGGAGGGAGACAGGCAGGGAGGGAGGGAGACTGGAAGACAGGCAGGGAGGAAGACTGGGCGACAGGCAGGGAGGGAGGGAGACTGGAAGACAGGCAGGGAGGGAGGAAGACAGGCAGGGAGGGAGGAAGACAGGCAGGGAGGGAGGGAGACAGGCAGGGAGGGAGGAAGACAGGCAGGCAGGCAGCCTCCTGATAATGTCTTGTACTACTGTTATCTAATGAATTTAGCCACACACTGTTCTTGCACAGTGCTACAATGTGTCATGATAAATAGATGGAACAATGCAGTCTTTTGATGTCAAAGACTGGCAAGGCCTCCTCAGCATCAGCAATAAAATAAATACTTCACATCTGCACTTCACAAATGTAAACATCTTTAAATATTTGTTCTTCTTTAATTAAATCAGCTTGTTGTGAATTCCAACCTCTTGCCTGTAGACTATTGTAAAATAATGGCCATTGTTAAGTCTGTTTATACTGTGGACTAGCAGTTATGTGTGGCCTAAATTCAAAAGAAAAACAAATTTGGCCGAAGATGGGATATGACGTGTTCAAAGGCAGCAGGACAATATGAGGGATTGAAGGAGTCTCCCACTGCCCATGGGGCCGGGTGAAAAGCAGCATTGTGCTGGGTTGGGCTGCTGTCCGAACTCTGGTTCCTGGTACCAACGTCTCCATGCTGGTTCTGACTTTGCTGGTTCATAGAACTCAAAGCAAAGGTAATCTGTAAAGTCTTTATGTTTGAAATGATGACCTCTAAATAACTTAACGTTGGTACTGTTCATAAAAGAGAACAGACATTGGACTGCTGTCTGTAAATGTACAATCAATCATCAAACACATCTGTTTTATAAGTCATACATGTTGGGACCAGTCAATAACGAACATCTAATAGGAATATAATAGCAATGCACTAACATATGTATTTAATTATATTACTGTAAAGCTTGCCAAGTGTAATCATGTAGATACATTATATTAGTGTAAAGCTTGCCAAGTGTAATCATGTAGATACATTATATTAGTGTAAAGCTTGCCAAGTGTAATCATGTAGATACATTATATTAGTGTAAAGCTTGCCAAGTGTAATCATGTAGATACATTATATTAGTGTAAAGCTTGCCAAGTGTAATCATGTAGATTCATTATGTTAGTGTAAAGCTTGCCAAGTGTAATCATGTAGATACATTATATTAGTGTAAAGCTTTCCAAGTGTAATCATGTAGATTCATTATATTATGGGTCCTGTGTAGCTCAGTTGGTAGAGCATGGCGTTTGCAACGCCAGGGTTGTGGGTTCATATGAAAAATGTATGCACTCACTAACTGTAAGTCGCTCTGGATAAGAGCGTTTGCTAAATTACTAAAATGTAAAACATGTAAATATTAGTGTAAAGCTTGCCAAATGTAATCATGCAGATTCATTATATTAGTGTAAAGGTTGAGATGAGCAAGGTCAAGTGTAATCCTGTACATTGCCACACCTCATCAAAGCTATGTCTCAGTGCTGTTGTGCTGAGTGTCCACTAGCATATATTTTGTCTCTGTAGGTCCCTGCCATCTTTGAGAGATGTTTGAGAAGCAGCGTTACGACAGCCCTCCCGTCTACAGTCCTCCATACAGCCCGGCCTCCAATGGCTACGGCCCCCCACAAAGCTACCACCCGCCCAGGAGTGAGTTTGACCCCTACCCACCCCCACCGGGCTCCTACTACATGGAAGAGAAGCCCCAACACTTCTACAAGTGGCTCTCTCCTCCTGGCATCGTCAAGGCCATGTTTGGCACCATCATAGTGCTCTGTGTGGGGATCTTTGCCTGTGTGGCCTCCACGCTGGTCTGGGACATGCAGTACGGGATGGGGGGGATGGGCTCCTACGGCGGAGGGATGGGCTATGGCGGTGGTTATGGGGGAATGGGCGGCGGTTATGGCTCCAGCTACGGCTCTGGCTATGGAGGAGGCTATGGAGGAGGCTATGGAGGAGGCTATGGTAACTATGGTAACTCCTACCCGACACCTTACTCGGCCAAAACCACCATGATAGCTATGGCGGCCATCAACTTCTTTGTGGCGCTGGGATTCTTCGTGGCCAGTTTCTCTAAATCGACCACGTTCAGGAGCAGGAAGTTCTTTCTGGTGGTTCTGGTGGTCAGCGTCATCATGGCTGTCATCCAGGGCATCATCACCATTGTGTACATCGTGGGGGTGAACCCAATGGCCCAGAGCTCTCAGAACATGATGTACAACCCCATGCTGTTGATGTGCCAGAACCTGTACGGAAGCAGCTATTCTAATATGGGAGGAGTCGGGGGTTTCGGCATGTATAACCAGTACCTCTATCACTACTGCTACGTGGACCCACAAGAGGTAGACCAACAGTTATACTACCTGTGTAATGTATCATTTGATTGTTGTGTTGTTGGTGCTCTGAAGATGTAGAATTGGTCTATGATTACACGTGTGTCCTTAACCCTTATTGAACCCTTATACTATGTATTTTTATCCCTTTAAGCCTTAAATAACAAACTAGTATTTTCAGATCGTTTGCGTAATAACTGACTTACGTAAACTCCTTGATGTTGGATGTGTCTCCTCCAGGGTGTAGCCATGGTGTGTGGGTTCCTGGTTACCGCTGCGTTGGTCGTGGCTGCTTTCTTCTCACACAAAACCAGAGGCAAGATCTGGCGCTACGGCAAGCCCAACATCTACTGGGAACAGCCCCCTGAGACTGGAGGCCTAGTTTCTGAAGGCAGAGATGTGAAGGACTGGGTAAGGAAACACTCATACTGGTATGAATATCATGCTCATACTCTTGATTGATTGATTGATTTTATTTGCCAGTAAAAATAATAATAACATATACACAGTACATATATTGAAAAGATATGACAGGGATATCATAATAAATGTGACGGGGATATCACAATAAATTTGACGGGGATATCACAATAAGTGTGACTGGGATTGTGACAGGGATATCACAATAAGTGTGACAGGGATATCACAATAAGTGTGACAGGGATATCACAATAAGCGTGACAGGGATATCACAATAAGTGTGACAGGGATATCACAATAAGTGTGACAGGGATATCACAATAAGTGTGACAGGGATATCACAATAAATGTGACTGGGATATCACAATAAATGTGACTGGGATATCACAATAAATGTGACGGGGATATCGCAATAAATGTGACGGGGATATTACAATAAATGTGACTGGGAGTGTGACAGGGATATCACAATAAATGTGACAGGGATATCACAATAAAGTCAGACTTACAGTGCATTCGGAAAGTATTCAGACCCCTTGACTTTTTCCACATTTTGTTACGTTACATCCTTATTCCAAAATTGATTAAATTGTTTTTTTTTCCCCTCATCAATCTACACACAATACCCCATAATGACAAAGAAAAAACATGTTCTTAGAAATGTTAGCAAATATCACATTTGCGTAAGTATTCAGACCCTTTACTCAGTACTTTGTTGAAGCACCTTTGGCAGTGATTACAGCCTTGAGTCTTCTTGGGTATGACGCTACAAAAGTTTGGCACACCTGTATTTGGGGAGTTTCTCCCATTCTTCTCTGCAGATCCTCTCAAGCTCTGTCAGGTTGGATGGGGAGCATCGCTGCACATCTATTTTCAGGTCTCTCCAGAGATGTATGATCGGGTTCAAATCCGGGCTCTGGCTGGGCCACTCAAGGACATTCAGAGACTTGTCCCGAAGCCACTCCTGCGTTGTCTTGGCTGTGTGCTTAGGGTCATTGTCCTGTTGGAAGGTGAACCTTTGCCCCAGTCTGAGGTCCTGAGCGCTCTGGAGCAGGTTTTCATCAAGGATCTGTCTGTACGTTGCTCCATTCATCTTTCCCTCGATCCTGACTAGTCTCCCAGTCCCTGCCGCTGAAGAACATCCCCACAGCATGATGCTGCAACTACCATGCTTCACCGTAGTGATGGTGCCAGGTTTCCTCTAGACGTGACGCTTGGCATTCAGGCCAAAGAGTTCAATCTTTGTTTCATCAGACCAGAGAATCTTGATTCTCATGGTCTGAGAGTCCTTTAGGTGCCTTTTGGCAAACTCCAAGCGGGCTGTCATGTGCCTTTTACTGAGGAGTGGCTTCCGTCTGGCCACTCTACCATTAAGGCCTGATTGGTGGAGTGCTGCAGAGATGGTTGTCCTTCTGGAAGGTTCTCCCATCTCCACAGAGGATCTCTGGAGCTCTGTCAGAGTGACCATCAAGTTCTTGGTCACCTCCCTGACCAAGGGCCTTCTCCCCCGATTGCTCAGTTTGGCCGGGCGGCCAGATCTAGGAAGAGTCTTGGTGGTTCCAAACTTCTTCCATTTAAGAATGATGGAGGCCACTGTGTTCTTGGGGACCTTCAATGCTGCATAAATGTTTTGGCATCCTTCCCCAGATATGTGCCTCGACACAATCCTGTCTCGGAGCTCTAAGGACAATTCCTTCGACCTCATGGCTTGGTTTTTGCTCTTGACATGCACTGTCAAATGTGTGACCTTATATAGACAGGTGTGTGCCTTTCCAAATCATGTCCAATCAATTGAATTTACCACAGGTGGACTCCAATCAAGTTGTAGAAACATCTCAAGGATGATCAATGGAAACAGGATGCACCTCAGCTCAATTTCGAGTCTCATGGCAAAGGGTCTGAATACTTATGTAAATAAGTTATTTCTGTTTTATCTTTAATAAATGTGCAAATATTCTAAAAACCTGTTTTTGCTCTGTCATAATGGGGTATTGTGTGTAGATTAATGAGATGTTTTATTTATTTAATCCATTTTAGAATAAGGCTGTAATGTAACAAAATGGGGGAAAAAGGGAAGGGGTCTGAATACTTTCCGAATGCACTGTATTTCCATTGTGGTTCCTTTTTAGAGTAAAGACAACCGATACTGGTATGAATACACAAAGTATGAGCAGAATGTATGTGTTTTTAGATGCTCCCAGTTTTAATGCAGTAATATTTCATTTACTATGGGTCTTTGTCAGGTTGAACATGATACGTTACTGTGACTAATCTATCCTCTCTCCCTAATCAGTTATAACACATTAAGAAATGTTAGATTTTTGACAGTTAGAATTGCACAATACCTCAGTCAGTTACAATGTTTTCTTTACCTGAGGTAAATTCAAAATGGGAATCAAAACAGACTTTGGAATGCGAGGTTGCAGTTCCCTGCTTTTACTTTATGAGTTGAAAGTCCACGAGGAGGTTCATCATTTCGTGCTTTTTATGACAGAAAATGTCAAGAGAGTAAAAAAAAAACATGACACAATTACAGATACAGTATAATTCCATAGTGGGGGCTTGGTTTAGGTGTGTGTGTGTGTTTGCACGTATCTGACTGTGCCCCTGTATGTCAAAGGGTATCAGTCAATACAGTGAGTATAGTATTAGCTGTGACACATTGACTGGCCATTGATTGATCTCAACCCAACATCGTCCTCTTGTGCACTTACTCTCATTTCCTGTCTCTCACCTCAACCTCCTCTCAATTACCAGACAACCGAGAATTGTCTGATTTGTAAAATGTTGGCCACGCTTAGGAAAAATCAAACTAGTAACCTTTAACCCATGCCCTACTCCAGTTTCACATTTTAAGAGCAGCCTTTTGACTCCTCAGGTTAGTTTTATAGCTGCTAGCTATGGCTACAGTGTTGCCACTCTGCTGAGGGGCTGTTGCTAACAGGCTGGTAGCATGGCTGTTTGTGGAGCTCATAGTTGCTGTTTGTTCAGTCTACCTGGTTTCACTCTGGCTGATCATTAACTAGTATAAACAGGTGGTTTCTAGAGCTCTTATCTAACGCTGCCTGCCTGGCTGGCTGGCTGGCTGGGGTTTTAAACGTCAACAACATGCCAGGGTTTCATGTCAACAAAATGCATTGTTACCAGGGTTATTGGTGAACTAGTACTGATCTAGATCGGTGATGGGTTGTTGTTGACAGATTTGTGGCATGTGAACGTAGTCAATGTAAGCAGTCGCAAGTCAATTTCACTTAATCCTAAATTAAATTAGCAAATTATTCGCATTTGAATGGAATTGTAATTTATTTCCTGTCATTGACTGATGGCAAAAGGAATGGGTCCCATCCCTCCTTGTTATGTTGTGTTAGTCCAGCAGGGTTGGGGTAAATTCCAATTAAATTCCAGTCCATTCAGAAAGTAAACCAAATTTCAGTTCCAATTTTCCTCATTAAGAAGCATTGCAGAGAATTTGAATAAACATTTCAGTATACTTCCTGAATTGACTGGAATTCAACATGTAATCTACCCCAACCCTGTACTTCAGTAATGCTTTTTTACGAGGGGTGTTATCTAGTTGTTTGTTTGTGGTGAGAGTGGTTGTCACAGAGCATACCCACAGATGGCCCTGGACAGAGGTGTGGAGAGGACAGGACAGGACAGGACAGGACAGGAGAGGACAGGAGAGGAGAGGACAGGACAGTATAGGAGAGGAGAGGAGAGGACAGGAGAGGACAGGAGAGGAGAGGACAGGACAGGACAGGACAGGACAGGACAGGAGAGGACAGGAGAGGACAGGAGAGGAGAGGACAGGACAGGACAGGACAGGAGAGAACAGGACATGTAGTATGTACTACAGTATCTATCAACCCATGCTGTGAGTCACCCCACACTGGTTCAATGACAGTTACTTTGACTCCCTCAGCCCACTGTGCCCAGGGCCCTGTCTCTGTCTGATGACCTCACCCACACTGGCCTCATTCAGCCTGACCAGGCTCCTTTGTCCTCCGACAGATGATGTCACAGGTTCTGCAGATGTAGGGCTGAATGATGTGGTAGAATGTTAGACCAACCTTGACTAGTAGACAACATGATGACGTGCGTTGGTTGACAGTTTATAACAATGTTCAATGCACAGTGCATTACCACAGTTGTCCAAACTAAAGCTTTGCTGTTTGAGTCTGACATCTTGTTTTTTTTTAATGCCCAGTGCAGGCTAGTGTTTCGAAGTGCTTGGCTAATACATTGATTTGGATGAAGACGTCGCCGTTGAAACTGGCTTTCAGTATATAGCTAATTGCATTTGTTTCTCTTTAGTTTTCTCTGCAAACCCTTCAATTAATATTTAATTGAGTGATACTCATTATAACTCCTTCTGGTGCTGCCTACTTCTTTAAGTCAAGGAAAAATGCAGCATTAAAGGTGCAATATGCAGAAATCACTCCGCCATTTCCTGGTTGCTAAAATTTGAATAGTTCGCCTAATTTCAGTTTGTGACAAAACAAGCAGTCATTGTGTAAATAATCATTGTACCATCTAAACCACACGGGAAGCATAGAAATAACACACATAGAACAGATCTACCCCTACTTAGACTTGCTTTCAATGAGAATGACAGATCTATAACTCACATTTCTATGTTAATTCGGTCGCCCAAAAAGTTACATATTTCAGCTTTAAACATTACTTAATAGTTACAGTAAGTATTAACAAATGTAGGGAGGGACTTCCAAATAAAGAATTATCAGCTGTAGTCCCGTGTGGCTCAGTTGGTAGAGCATGGCGCTTGCAATGCCAGGGTTGTGGGTTTGATTACCACGGGGGACCAGTACGAACAAATATGAAAATGTATGCACTCACTACTGTAAGTCGCTCTGCATAAGAGCGTCTGCTAAATGACTCAACTGTAGATAAAAATAAGGGGTGTGGTTGGTTGCAGCTTATTTACCCTCTACCATGCTCAGCTGTGGGAACATACCAGCTGGCTCTCCCTCCATCTCTGCCCCATGCCTGCTTTCCCTCTCACCTTCCCTCCCTCTCACCCTCCCTCCCTACCCCAGGTCCTAGGGGCTCAGACATTCCTTCCCTGCTTATTTAGGCAGCTCACGGCCCAGCACCACTCTACTCCATGCAGAGAGGGGCATTGTTGGAATTCCTAGATGACTTGCCTTGTGCTCTTCAAAAGGTGGCCTTCTTCCTGGTTCCTGCAGCTGCGGGGAAGTGCTGCCTGTACCCCACCCAATGATTGTTTCTTTCTAACAGCAGGTCTGCTGTTGTTACAGAGAGCCTGCACTGTGAAGTTAGTAATGCAGTGCACATGTCTTAGGAACGGTAGCCTGCCTTAGATGATCACACTCACACACTCACACACACACACTATAAATTGCGTTTTTAGCAACAGAGATTAAATAATGTGACAGATTGCCTAGGCCTGCAGTGTGTCCCCATACTGAGGCCTTTATTGTGGAGACGACCTTCACACGAACTTTCCACTCACACAGGAAGGACTTGCTGATATAGATGAAGACTTCCTTGTTTATATCCCAGAGACCTCTCCCTTTGTATTGAGGGAAAGGAAAGAGGAGTTTGTCTGTTGCAGGTGTACATGAGACTTTTCTTTGTTTCTACAGAACTCAGTCAAATGTAATCTCACACAGTGTCAATATACACCTCATTTTCAGCAATTAGATTACAAAACTGTCTCTGATATTGATCACCAATATTTACATTTCTCAACAGAATGTTTGTGGAAATGGATGGATAGCGCATACATTATCCCAAAATGGTGTCAGTTTGTCACAGGACTAAAGCATATGTAATAGAGTACCGCAGAATGAGTCATTATACCCATAGAACCTAAAGGTCAAACAGGGAAATGGTTCCAATCGTTTTTCCATCGTTAATTTTTCCCATAGGTTATTTTTGAAACACTTAAAATAAGGGCTGTGTTTCGTGTAGGCTTACCCTGCTGTGATGTTTTGATAACTGTGTAAATCTCTCTAGGACAAGGTGACTTTTATAAATATATTTGCCTGTATTTCCCCCCAAAAATGTAATGCTAATGTGGCTATCATAAGGAACTACAAATGCCATAACGTTCTGGACGAGACTGCCATATCCAGGCAAAGGTAAGAATCTCTGGATTAACTATCTAATGTTAGCTAAATGTAGCAATTAACCTCTATGGGATCGGTGTCCCGTATACGGGACGGTTGAGCTATCTTGCGCTAATGTGATTAGCAAACTTTCTAGGACATAGACATGTCTTATATGGCAGAAAGCTTAAATTCTTGTTAATCGAACTGCACTGTCCAATTTACAGTAGCTATTACAGTGAAAAAATACCATGCTATTGTTTGAGGAGAGTGCACAACAACAACAAAAATTAGCACGGCAACTGTTTTGATACATTCACCTCTGAAGGTAAATAATGTACTTACATTAAGTAATCTTGCTCTGATTTGTCATCCTGAGGGTCCCAGATATAAAATGTAGCATAGTTTTGTTTGATAAAATCAATTTTTATATTCAAATTTAGGAACTGGGTTCCACAGTTTGAACCCCTGCTGTCTGTGGCTCCACACCCACCCCGCTCGGCCATCTAGATGTGTGAAAGTTAGTGTATAAGTTAATGATCCATCATGTATGACATTCCTGGGAGTGTGTAAACTTACATTTTGTATTACCATATAATTTTAGTATGTTCTCTATAGTTATGTACTTGAGAAACTTTGCACACACACTGCTGCCATCTAGTGGCCAAAATCTAAACTGCAATATTATATTGTGGCCTTTCTCTTGCATTTCAAAGATGTAAAACAAATATATGTTTCTTTGTTTGTATTATCTTTTACCAGATCTAATGTGTTATATTCTCCTACATTCATTTCACATTTCCACAAACTTCAAAGTGTTTCCTTTCAAATGGTATCAATAATATGCATATCCTTGCTTCAGGTCCTGAGCTACAGGCAGTTAGATTTGGGTATGTCATTTTAGGCGAAAGTTGAAAAAAAGGGTCGGATCCTTAAGAGGTTAATAAATAGGCTACATTTCTTTTAAATTGACAAATCTGTGAACTGTCTTGTTTAAATTGACACAATACCTGTTAGCAAAGGTATCAGCTAGAGATGACAAGCAGGAGCTTGCAGGGATTTGTAGTTTTGCATGATGTCTACTTTGATTTTAATTAGCATTTTCGAATCTGAGAGTAAATAGAGCTGAATATATTGATAAAAGTCACCTTGTCCTAGAGAGATTTACATGGTTATCAAAACATCACGCCAGGGTAAACCTACATGAAACACAACCTTTATTTTAAGTGTTTCTAAAATCCCCTAAAATGAATGGTGGAAAAACGATTGGAACCGTTTCCCTGTTTGACGTCTAGGTTTTATGGGTATTATGACACCTCCACTGTGGGGCTCTGTAGGGTTCCTTTGGGCTTTTTGCATCTACAACAGAGATGTGACATTTCTGGTTGCATTACATGCGTTCTGGCAGGAGTGTTGTAAATCCTATGAATTATCTTAAATTGCTGTAGTTTATGACTTAGGTTGTAGGAGCAGGTTTGAACATTTTCACATATTTATGACCAATGGTTCTCCTCAATTTCTTCCTTTAGTTCTGTTTCCTTATAGGTTCTGAACCATCAGGTAGAGTTTCAATCAACTGTTGATATAATCTGGCAATCAACTTTTTGGCATAAATCTGTATTTCTTTCTATGCTAGATTTCTGAGTTGTAAGAACTTAAAGAAATCGGCCTTGGATAATCCAAATCTTTCTTATAATTAATTGAATGTCAGTAGAGATCCATCCTAGTGCACATGTTCAAAATTCATGATGCCACTTTGGAACCAGGACGTGTTATGATTAAACACTGGAGGTAAGGTGGGGTTATTCCTAATACGGATGCCTGGCGATATTGGTTCTTCCCACCTCATGAATTTATGTTCTTTTTTTCCAAATACGAATGGAATTGAGAATAATTGAATTGTCTGTTTTTTCTGCTGCAATGCCTTGGACCCGAAGTAGTGAATATATTTTCGATCATACGGTATTACATTTGTGGCTTCAATAGTCCTCCATGCACAAGGATAGTCTGCTGTCCATTTATTTAAGTGAAAGCAGTTGTGGATCCCAGTAATACATCGTCATATGAGGTAGTCCAAGACCTCCAGCTTCATAGGGGAAGTGTAAAACAGTCAGTTTGACTCTTGAGGTCTTTTACATTCCAAATAAAGTTGGAGAGCAGGCCATTTATTTTATTTAAAAAGATGGATGGAATTTAAACTGGAATAAATACATCAACCTTGGTAATATATTCATTTAGATTATGTTGACCCAACCTAACATAGAAATAGAGAGAGATCTCCATCTCTGAACATCAGATTCAAACCTATCTATTAAAGGAGGGTACTTGATTTGATATGCCTCCTCCAGACTGCATGGTATCAGTACACACAGGTATTTCATAGGTGTCTTTGCCCATTTCCACTTAAATGTACTTTCTAAGCTGGAGAAGTCATGATTATTTCAGTCTTCTCCCAATTAACTTTGAATCCTGATACAGCACCATATGTGTCCAACAGTAGTACAAGAAATGACAGAGAATGTTCTGGTTCAGATAAATAAAGTAAAATGTAATATGCTTACAATTATGTCACATTTTGATCTCCACCAATCTCTATTCCCCGGATTGAGCCATGAGTTCTAATTATTGATGCTAGGGGTTCTGTTGGCTAATGAAAATAAATAGCTAGACAAAGTACATCCCTGTCTTGCAAGCCCTTTCCTTAGCTAACGTAGATGTTCAAATGGAATCAAGGCCAACTGTCATATCATAAACGTTCCTACTGTTTTATGTCATTGCAGTTACGTCAATGATAAGACTGGAGCTGGACAGAGAGAGCTTCCTGCTAACATAGCTAACAGAATAACACTAATGGTCATTTTTTTTGGGACAGTAACTAAGGGAAATGGGTCTGTGGTGATTGTTGGTATCTTGGCATGGTGTCCTCTTGAACCTGGTAAATCAAGCACGTAATCCAAATTTCACTCAAGACCCGGTCTGGCCAATTATATGCCTGGCCGACTGCTCAGCCAGACTTAAAAGAGTCATTTTTAAAAGTGCCATTCCAGTATCCTTGGAGAACAATAAATGGGGGCAAAGTCAACACAGGTCCCCCTTTTAGCCTCATAGAATCAGGCCTATTAAAGTGAATCACTGTCTAATTCCATGCATGCTCACATAATGCCCTGTAGTAAGAAGGGGCCCAGTCTCTTGTATCCTGATACTATAGGTTGTGGAGAGGAGGCCTAAAGTTGCTCAAGCCTCAAATATTTCTGAAACAAACTCTTTGAATCAAAGTCTCTGCCTGTCCTCTACATTACTTTCAAGGTCCAAGACTAGTATTTCTTTTTTATTCCTGGTCTTTACCAGAGAGGATGCTGGGTAACGTTATGGTCATACTAGGAAGTTAGCGTGAAAACAGGCTCCTGACCTCTTTGTTTGTGTTTGTCATTGTGCTGCTGACTGAGGCCCCTCTCTGTGCGTGTTTCCTGGCTGCTTTAGGTTAACAATGTGGAGGACGGACAAAGTACAGAGGATGCACCTACCGTGGTGCTGTCAGAGAAGTCCATCCCCCTCAATGCCTCAGCCAATAGCATCATCTCCTACCCAACCAAGGCTGACAGCAGGGTATACACTGGCGACACTTACAACAACAATGTGTGAGTAAACAGACAAACAACATCGCCTCAGCCCTGTTCCAATGCATCTTTTCTTTTCTCTCTTCATCGGTTATATCCTCCCTTTCCTTGAACATACTCAAATAAAATTATTTGTCACATGCGCCGAAATTTCAAACAATCTGTTTTCGCTTTGCTATTATCAGGATTTTTATTTATTTAATCCATTTTAGAATAAGGCTGTGACGTAACAAAAAAAGTTAAGGGGTCTGAATACTTTCCGAAGGCACTGTATGTACATGAAGGCAGGGTAAAGTGACCAAGCATCAGGATAGACAATAATAAGAGTAAAATAAAGAACAGAGTAGCAGCAGCATATGTTGAGTGTGTGTATATACAGAGCCTTCAGAAAGGATTCATACCCCTTGATTTATTCCACATTGTATTATGTTACAGCCTGAATTCGTAATGGATTTTTTTACCCATCTACACACAATACCCCATAATGACAAAGTGAAAGAAAACATGTTTTTAGACATTTTAGCAAATGTATTGAAAATGAAATACAGAAATATCTACCGAGCAGTGATGCAGCCAGTCAAGATGCTCTCAATGGTGCAGCTGTAGAACTTTTGTCGAGGGCCCATGCCAAATCTTTTCAGCCTCCTGAAGGGGAAGAGGTGCTGCCGTGCCCTCTTCACGACTGTGTGTGTGTGTGTGGACCATGTTAAGTCTTCAGTGATGTAGGACGCCAAGGAACTTGAAGCTCTCAACCCGCTCCACTACAGCCCTGTCGATGTGGATGGGGGCGTGCTCGCCCCTACTTTCTCCTATAGTCCACGATCAGCTCCTTGGTCTTACTGACGTTGAGGGAGAGGCTGTTGTCCTGGCACCACACTGCTAAGTCTCTGACCACCTCCATGTAGGCTGTCTCATGGCCGTCGGTGATCAGACCTACCATTATCGTGTAATCAGCCAACTTGATGATAGTCTTGGAGTCATGCATGTCCATGCAGTCGTGGGTGAACAGGGAGTACAGGAGGGGACTAAGCACACACCCCTGTGGGTCCCCGTGTTGAGGGTCAGCGTGGTGGAGGTGTTGTTGCCTACACTCACCACCTGGGGCCGGGCCCGTCAGGAAGTCCAGGATCAAGTTGCAGAGGGAGGTGTTCAGTCCCAGGGTCCCTAGGTTGGTGATGACCTTGGAGGGGACTACGGTGTTGAACACTGAGCTGTAGTCAATGAACAGCATTCTCACATAGTTTTATCCCCTCTTGTCCAGGTGGGAGAGGGCAGTATGAAGTGCAATTAAGATTGCGCCATCTGTGGATCTGTTGGGACGGTTGTGAATTGGAGTGGGTCCAAGGGTGTCTGGGATGATGGTGTTGATGTGTGTCATGACCAGTCTTTCAAAGGCTGGTCATGACACAGATATGAGTTGTGAGTGCTACACGGCGATAGTCATTTAGGCAGGCTACCTTGTAATTTTTGGGAACAGGGACAATGGTGGTCAGCTTGAAACATGTTGGGATTAAAGACTGGGACAAGGAGAGATTGAAAATGTCTGTGAAGACACTTGCCAGCAGGTCTGTGCATGCTTTGAGAATACGCCCTGGTATTCGGTCTTTCTGCGAGTGTTAACTTGTTTTAAAATTTACTCATATCGCGGAATAGCGAGATCACACAGTCATCTGGAACAACTGGGGCTTTCACGCAAGACTCTGTTGTATTCTTCAAAGTGAGCATAAAAGGCATTTCGCTTGGGAGGTCTGCATCACTAGGCATCTCACTGATGGGTTTCCCTTTGTAATCGGTTATCGTTTGCAAGCCCTGCCACATACGACGAGTGTCGGAGCCGGAGTAATGTAATGTAATGTTGTTTTGCATGTTTGAGGTTGTAGCGGGCTTTCTTGCATACGTCCATGTCTGTGTCCCGTTCCTTGAAAGCGGTAGCTTTAGCCCAGCACGGATATTGCCTGTAATCCATGGTTTTTGGTTTGGATGCGTTCGCATAGTCACTGTGGGGACGACGTCGTCTATCCACTTGATGAATCCCGTGACTGATGTGGTAAACTTCTCAATGCTATCAGATGAATCCTGGAACATATCCCAGTCTGTACTAGCGAAACAGTCTTGTAGCCTCGCGTCAGCTCCATTGGACCTCTTCCGTATTTAGAGCATCACTGATACTTCCTGTTGTAGCTTTTGTTTGTAAACAGAAAGTAGGAGAATAGAGTCATGGGAGGACGAGGGAGGGCATTTCTCTGGGTAGAATACAAGTGGTCTAGAGTTTTAGCACCTCTGGTTGCGCAAGATATGTGTTGGTAGAAGTGAGGTAGAACGTTTTTAAGTCTCCATTTGTTAAAGTATCCTCCTACCAGAAGTACTGCCTCTGGGTAATCGGTTTCTTGTTTGTTTATGGTCCCATACAGTTCCTTGATTACCTAAATGTTTGCTTGTGGAGGGATGTAGACAGCCATGATAATTACGGATTAGAACTCTCTTGGTAGCTATAAGGGTCTGCAGCTTACCATGATCTATTCTATATCAGGTGAGCTAAAGCTCCAGATTTCCTTCACACTGGAAGCAGCGCACCAGTTGTTGTTTATAAAGAGGCACACCCCTCCCCCTTTGGACTTGCTCGAGGCCATCTTCATCCGATCGTGCCGCTGCATGGAGAAACCACTGAGTTCTACGTATATAGAGTCATACAGCCACGTTTCTGCAAGGCACATAATATTGCTGCTTTTTGAAGTCTCTCTGATAGGAGACTCTCGAGTGAAGCTCATCCATCTTATTCTCGTGTGACTGGACATTTGCCAATAGAACGGAAGGGAGTGCCGGTCAATTTTCTCTTTGTCCTAGTCTCGCCAGGATGCCGGCCCGTCTGCTGCGTCTACGCCATGAAACAAAGGTCCAGGATGAACTTTCTGTACAAGAAAAGTCAAGATAAACACGAAAAAGTCACTAAAGTCGGTTTGGAACTCGTAGGATGTCTCCCTTCTCCATCGGCGCCATCTTTCTGTATTCTTTCTTAGAGAATTTAGAACTAAATCTTGCGCAACTATATACAAATAAGAGAATGTACTGTACTTCAGCTTGTAGGCTGTGTGTAACTGAAAGTAAAATGAGGTCGGTTTGAATGGGTTTACAGTAACCTGCACCATTCCTTCCTCCCTTCGTAATCACTGATCTGACGCAATAGGGATGGGTGTGAGACAGGAAGTAGCTTTCACCTATCCGCCAGTGATGTCAGATCATTGATAACTTCCAGGAAGGACAGAAGGAAGGATGCATGTTAAATGTTTAGGTACAGATGCCCTTCTCTGTGAGAGTTACACATGCCAAGTCAAGTGTTTGGTTACGTGCCAGGTCACGTGCCAGGTCAAGTGTTTGGTTACGTGCCAGGTCACGTGCCAGGTCAAGTGCTCTTATTTGGTCTTATTTGCGAAGGGGTTGCACAAGACTTGGTGCTGTGCAGTAAACAATGCCTCCATCAGGCCATATGTCAAACATAACCTACTTCATGAAGTCCACTGTCTGGGACAGGAGAGTACTGTATAGCAACCGCCCTCGGAAGTATCATGGAAAGTCAACACACACATCTATAAACTGCTTATTGAGAGTTGAGGCTTATAAATAGTTAAAACAGTTATTGGCACAATAATAATGGATGCATGCTTATAAATCATTATAAACCAATCAATTAGACTGTATAAGAAACATTTTAGCTCTCACCATATATCATTGCAACCCTTATTGATGCTTTGTATGTAATGCTGATAAAACTCCTAAAAAAGTCCTGCTTCATAAAACAGAGGAATTCTAGCCTCAAGACTTCCCTGACCTTGTTGACATAATCTGCTAGTTTGTCATAGGGTGCTCTGCTGTAATATCATAGCTACTTCCATTGAGCCCTGAGATGAAACCTTAAATCCCTGCTAACTCAACAGTGAACTTGTGTTCCCCTCCTTTTATTAAGGAAATCCGGAGTCTGTCTCTTCCATTTGTCCAGTGGTTTCAGTGACATGTGATCAGTTATATTCATGTACACTACCAGTCAAAAGGACACATCTACTCATTCAAGGGTTATTCTTTATTTTTTACATTGTAGAATAATAGTGAAGACATCAAAACTATGAAATAACACATGGAATCATGTAGTAACCAAAAAAGTGTTAAACAAATCAAAATATATTTTATATTTGAGATTCTTCAAATAGCCACCCTTTGCCTTGATGACAGCTTTGCACACTCTTGGCATTCTCTCAACCAGCTTCATGAGGTAGTCATCTGGAATGCATTTCAATTAACAGGTGTGCCTCCTTAAAAGTTAATTTGTGGAATTTCTTTCCTTCTTAATACGTTTTAGCCTATCAGTTGTGTTGTGACAAGGTAGGGGGGGTATACAGAAGATAGCCCTATTTGGTAAAAGTCCATATTATGGCAAGAACAGTTCAAATAAGCAAAGAGAAACAACAGTCCATCATTACTTTAAGACATGAAGGTCAGGCAATCCGGAAAATGTCAAGAACTTTGAAAGGTTCTTCAAGTGCAGACACAAAGACCATCAAGCTGAGGACCGCCACAGGAATGGAAGACCCAGAGTTACCTCTGCTGCAGAGGATAAGTTCATTAGAGTTACCAGCCTCAGAAGTTGCAGCCCAAATAAATGCTTCACAGAGTTCAAGTAACAGAGACATCTCAACATCAACTGTTCAGAGGAGACTGTGTGAATCAGGCCTTCATGGTCGAATTGCTGCAAAGAAGCCACTACTAAAGGACACCAATAATAAGAAGAGACTTGCTTGGGCCAAGAAACACGGTGGAAATTTGTCCTTTGGTCTGGAGTTCAAATTTGAGATTTTTGGTTCCAACCGCCATGGCTTTGTGAGACGCGGTGTGGGTGAACGGATGATCTCCGCATGTGTATTTCCCACCGTAAAGCATGGAGGAGGTGGTGTTATGGTGTGGGGGTGCTTTGCTGGTGACACTGTCTGTGATTTATTTAGAATTCAAGGCACACTTAACCAGCATGGCTACCACAGAATTCTGCAATGATACGCCATCCCATCTGGTTTGGGCTTAGTGGGACTATCATTTGTTTTTCAACAGGACAATGACCCAACACACCTCCAGGCTGTGTAAGGGCTATTTTACCAAGAAGGAGAGTGATGGAGTGCTGCATCAGATGACCTGGCCTCCACAATCCAATTGAGATGGTTTGGGATGAGTCGGACCACAGAGTGAAGGAAAAGCAGCCAACAAGTGCTCAGCATATGTGGGAACTCCTTTAAGACTGTTGGAAAAGCATTCCAGATGAAGCTGGTTGAGAGAATGCCAAGAGTGTGCAAAGTTGTCATCAAGTCAAAGGGTGGCTATTTGAAGAATCTCAAATATAAAATATATTTTGATTTGTTTAACACATTTTTGGTTACTACACGATTCCATAGTTTTGATGTCTTCACTATTATTCGACAATGTAGAAAATAGTAAAAATAAAGGAAAATCCTTGAATGAGTAGGTGTGTCCAAACCTCTGACTGGTAGTGTACATCATTGTTGTTTTTCCCTAGAAGTAGATCAGAAACCATTGGAAGGTCATGGCTGACGTGTTCTTGGTTGTGTGTGACTAGAAACTAAGGTCATAGAAACTAAGGTCAAAACAAAGGTAATTTTTGGTACATAAATCAGAGGTATTCAGGCATTCAGAGTGTTTTTGGTAGATAGAGCAGAGGTATTCAGGTATTCAGAGTGTCTACCATGTTATATTTACATGACACTACTTGTTGAGTTTATATTGAATGTTATTGTTGTGCCTCAGGTATTCGGAGCATCTGGCTAGCCGTCCCTCGGACCAGCCCTCCCAGGGGGCCAGTTCCAGCCCCTCTGAGGAGGCAGGGGGGGTCAGGAAGCCCTCGGCCAAAAGGGGCAAGAGGAGCCGGCGCAACCCTGAGCTGGACGAATCACAGTACGAAACCGAGTACACCACGGGAGGAGAGACTGGCAACGAACTGGACCCAGAGGAGTGGGAGAGGTGAGACACACGCAGGGAGGCAGGCAAGGCGCACACACTCACATGCATGGACGTTCACACACACGCACACGCACACGCACAAATGTATCTACGCATGACTGTATGTCACTTTAGATAAAAGCGTCTGCTAAATGGCATATATTATATAGTATTATAAACTGGGTGGCTCGAGTCCTGAATGCTGATTGGCTGACAGCCATGGGTATGGCTGACGTATACCATGGGTATGACAAAACATTTATTTTTACTGCTCTAATCACATTGGTAACCAGTAGCAATAAGGCACCTTGGGGGTTTGTGATGTATGGCCAATATACCACGGCTAAGGGCTGTATCCAGGCACTCCGCGTTGCGTCGTGCTTAAGAAATAGCCATGGTATATTGGCCATATACCACACCTCCTCGGGTGTTATTGCTTAATTATATCACAGAAATTGGCAGGCACATTCACGCACGCACGCACGCACACACACACACTCACACACTGGCAGGCATGTTCACACACACACACACACACACACACGTTCACACTCACTCACTCACTCACTCACACCTGCAACAATGTAATGGTAGTGGGGAAGTGTTAAGAGAATTTCTATCCCAATGTTTCAAAAATGAACTTATTACTCAGTCTGTAATCATCAGACCAAGTAGCCCAGCATACAATCATCAGGCTTTATTCATGAGAACGTTCTGAAAATCATACAATGCACAATGTTTTTATACCTTTACTACGCCCCTAAATGGGCCAATGAAAAAGCTCCTAGCCCATTGTAGTTTTATGATTCTATTACATTCCTATAATTTTCGGGGTGTAATACTTTAGAGGAATTTGTTAATGTGACTATCAGGGAGGTTAGACACACACGGCAAGCACACGCACACACACACACACACCCAGTACATGCTTAGAAAAAAAGGTGCTTTCTAGAACCTAAAAGGGTTCTTCAGCTGTACCCATAGGAGAACCCTTTGAATAACCCTTTTTGGTTCCAGGTAGAACCCTTTTGGGTTCCATGTAGAACACTTTCCACAGAGGGTTCTACATGGAACCCAAAAGGCTTCTATCAGAAACCAAAAAGCGTTCTACCTGGAACCAAAAAGTGTTCTCCTATGGGGCCAGCTGAAGAACCCCTTTTGGAACCCTTTTTTCTAACAGTGTAGCAGTCTGAGCTGGTCTTGTTCGGTGCAGTAGAGTAGCTAATCTCTCCTGGCATGCCATTCCACATGAGGTTGTAATTGGAAATAATGAGAGAATTGGGCCAAAGGTTTAAGGTGTGGGGGTGTGTGGTGGGTAGGTAGTTAGTGAGAGAGCAGCTGTATTTGGCTGCATCCACCTCCACTCTACCTTTCCTCTCCCTGAGACTGAGAGGGCCCTGGTGAGAGAATTGGGATCTGAAAACCATTGTTTGACTGGTGTAAAACAGAAGGCATGAAGCCCTGGCCTGCTGTGCTGTGTATTACAGGAACACTCAGTTCCCGTAATGGTCGAGAAGTGGCCAAAAAGGAAGCGGAGCTTCTCAGTGAAATATGCTGAGTGTACAGCAAGACAGAAGATGATCCTAATACTGTTGATCATAGTACAATCGAGTTGTATTGATCAAATACACTACACGACGTAAAGTATGTGGACACCTGCTCGTCGAACATCTGATTCCAAAATCATTGGCATTAATATGGAGTTGGTCCCCCCTTTGCTGCTATAACAGCCTCCACTCTTCTGGGAAGGCTTTCCACTAGATGTTGGAACATTGCTGCGGGGACTTACTTCCATTCAGCCACAAGAGCATTAGTGAGGTTGGACACTGATGTTGGGCGATTAGGCCTGGCTCGCAGTCTGCGTTCCAATTCATCCCAAAGGTGTTTGATGGGGTTGAGGTCAGGGCTCTGTGCAGGCCAATCAAGTTCTTCCACACCGATCTCGAAAAAACAATTTCTGTATGGACCTCGCTTTGTGCACTGGGCATTGTCATGCTGAAACAGGAAAGGGCCTTCCCCAAACTGTTGCCACAAAGTTGGAAGCACAGAATCATCTAGAATGTCAATGTATGCTGTAGCGTTAAAATGTCCCTTCACTGGAAATAAAGGGCCTAGCCTGAACCATGAAAAACAGCCCCAGACCATTATTCCTCCTCCACCAAACTTTACAGTTGGCACTATGTATTGGGGCAGGTAGCGTTCTCCTGGCATCCGCCAAACCCAGATTTGTCTATCGGACTGCCAGATGGTGAAGGGTGATTCATCACTCCAGAGAATGCGTTTCCACTGCTCTAGAGTCCAATGGCGTCGAGCTTTACACCACTCCAGCCAACGCTTGGCATTGTAGTGAATGTTGCAACTGAGGACAGATGATTTTTACACGCTATACGCTTCAGCACTCGGCGGTCCCGTTCCATGAGCTTGTGTGGCCTACCACTTCGCAGCGGAGCCGTTGTTGCTCCTAGATGTTTCCACTTCACAATAACAGCACTTACAGTTGACCGGTGCAGCTCTAGCAGGGCAGACATTTGACGAATTGACTTGTTGGAAAGGTGGCATCCTATGACGGTGCCCCTTTGAAAGTCACTGAGCTCTTCAGGAAGGCCATTCTACTGTCAATGTTTGTCTATGGAGATTGCATGGCGGTGTGCTCAATTTTATACACCTGTCAGCAATGGGTGTGGCTGAAATAGCCGAATCCACTAATTTGAAGGGGTGTCCACATACTTTTGTATATATAGTGTATGTGTTAACAATGTCTAACAATATTCTCTTACCTCGTCTCTCTCCCCTCAGCGTCTACCCAGAGATAATGTCAGACGGCCAGCGTCAGGAGTACAAGAGGGAGTTTGATGCCGACCTGAGGGAGTACAAACACCTGTGTGCTGAGATGGACGACATCAGTGACCAGATGAACAAACTCAGCAGGCAGCTGGACACACTGGACGAGACCTCCGCCCAGTACCAGGTGAGACACCAGAGGGAGACCAGTGGAGGCTTGTGTCAATGTAGTATTTTTAAAATATATATCTTTAAGTATTGTTATTATTTTTGAGAGTACAGCAGGAAATGTGGAGAGGGAAATGGGGATACCTAGTCAGTTGTACAACTGAATGCATTCAACTGAAATGTGTCTTCCGGATTTAACCCAACCCCTCTGAATCAGAGAGGTGTGGAGGGCTGCCTTAATCCACGTCTTCGGCGCCCGATGGAGACAGATAGTAGGGTCATACAGAGGGTGGCCGAGACGGGACATATGTGGTCCGGATGGTGGAAGCTGGTGTAAATTTAAATGGGAGGACAGGCTCAATACTATGAGCTGTCCTTCCTTCGCCAGCCTCCACTGAGATCCACACGCAGAACCAGGGAGAAATACTTCTTACTTTCCATATTCTTAACTTCAGGTTGTGGCAGAGGAATATAATCGACTGAAAGACGTTAAGAGGGTGAGCAGACCTTCCTAGCAAATCACACACATTGTAATGATTGAACCTTTATCACCCCATAATAGAGACGATGAAACAATGTATGTGTTTTCTCTCTTTTCCTCTCCAGACACCAGACTATCAGGCTAAGAAGCTGGAGTGTCGCAGGCTGAGACACAAACTGTTCCATATCAAACGTGTGGTCAAGGCCTACGACAAGAGCCTTTCTTAAAGGCACGCTCTCCCTCCAACCCAATCCAACCCCCTCCTCTGTTGTCATGACAACACAACACTCCTGGACTAAGACTATGCAGAACACTGAGATTATGTAGAACGTTGAAAACCAAAGCTGCCTTCTTGGCACTCACACACACACACTGTGAAGACACACACATCCACATCCCTGCATGCACACATGCTCATACACACACATTCATCCATCAATAAAAAGGATGAATAACAGATCCACACACACACACACACACACACACCCGCACACCCACAGAAACACCCACACACACACCCACACACACAAGCAAACACACACCCACAAACACACACACACACACACACACCAACACACACATCCACACACCCACATACGCACACACACACAGAGACAGACAGACAGAGACACATACACAGACACAGACCCACAAACACACTCACACACACACACACATTGAACATTAATGGCTTGGACATGTGATTCCTTCTGCCTCTACTCATTTCAGACCAGTTCTTATTCTCTATGTGGATTGCTTCATAGACAGTATCGTACACTGTGGAGTTGAAAGACTATATTCATAACACTTCACACGTAACACATAAACCACCAGCACTGCCATGTTCCTAACTGTGCCTAGTAAGTAGCATTGTGGTACATGCTTGCCTTGAAACACTGCAGCCTATTTGACTGGATGGGTGTGGTTATAAAAGGTTACTTCAATGTCGTTTGACCTGAGGTGGTCTGTGATAAAGGTATCGGGCCTTTGCTGGTTCCTGTTTGCTTTAGATAGGGGATAATGTGCATTGTTTTGTCTCCACAGATAAGGCAGTATCACTGAGCGTAGAAAAGGGCGAGTCGGACTGCTGAGTATGCACCAAACATACTAGAACAAAACCGTGCCGTGTGCTTCAAGCACTCCACAAAAGAAAGCTAAAATACCCGCTGTTTTCTCTTACAAATGGCTGAATTCTACCTTATATTAAGACAGTTGGAGGACCTGCAGTATGTGAACACTCTCTCAGGTGCGTTCGTAAATTCGCTCTGGCTATCTACTCCGATTTCAGAGCACTCTCTTCTGAGTGTGCCAGAGCACAGAATAATGAATTATGAACGCTCAACACCCGTTGGATATGACCGGTGTCAGTAAACGTAGGCAAAAAAAGCGTAATTAAATTGTTGCCAGCAGCGCAGTTACAGTCACCAACGCTCTGGATAACATGAAAACAGCCTAACCAGCTCTGCTAGGGTGAGTAAAATGGTCAGAGTGAGGTTGTTCTCTCAATTGTGTCTGGAAGTAGCTAGCCAACGTTAGCCAGTTAGCTTGGGTGCTTGACTGCCGTTGTGAGGTCAGAACACTCGGATCAACCCTACTCCTCGACCAGAGCGTCCAGTGTGCTCCCTGAACGCTCCGAGAGCGAAACACTCTGAATTTAGGAATGGACAATCTGACAATGGCCCACTCTGAGCATACTCTGGCACTCCAGATTGAATTTACGAACACACCCTCTGTTGTGTATTGCCTTGACAACCTGACTGTTATGTTTGAGAAAAGTAGGGTTCTGAATGCAACATTGTCAGTGAAATTAGTATTGTATTGAACTGTGTCTGCAGTTAGTTTCCAAGCAGTCAGACCACTGTATTATAACAAATCACCATCTAGACTTCTTCTAAATCTATTGTCAATTGTGATTAACTGTATATTTTGTATATATTTTGGAGTTAAACAAGATTTAAATGGTGAAGTATTTACTAATAACACAGGATCAAGAGGAATAAAACGCTTTGTATTTGTGATATGAATTCTTCATGTTAAGGAGCCGTCTCTCTGAATTTATGCCATGGTGACGTGCTAGTCGGAACTAGGAAAAGCTGACATTTCCGACTTGCTAACTGGTTGAACGTGGCACGTGAATAACTACAACCAGTTAGCAAGTCGGACATTTCTGAGTTTCCTAGTTCCAATTAGTATGTGAACATTTTATAGTGACATTTTGGTCATTTTGTACTTACTGAAGAGTCAAATTAACTGTTGTCCAGGGTGTTTTCTCAGTGGTCATTCACAATGCACTGATGCTATGCACATATTAACCAATGACGGGGCAGTATTTTATGAACAATATTTGTCTCATCATGTGCTCTTTAAACACTATGGGAAGCATGCATCAATGTGGTAAATATGTCAATAAGCTCAACTTGGTTTAGATTTGATTTCTCTGCCATGATATAATGATTACCTGTTGATTGTTATGTGTTGTCACTGCTCTGCTACACTCCCTCTGCAAGGTAATGCTTCTCAATGTCAGTTAGAAAATGATTTACAGCTATTTGGATTATTTGTTATTAATTTGTATTTTCTATGAAGAACAGATTGTTGTCCCCCCCCCCCCCCCTTTATGAGTCCTTTATGTTGATATGAATTTATTTCCTTTCATGTTACTGTAAAATCTATATTATTTGTTTTATAACCAAACACTTGTAAAAAGGCATAGTTTCTAAAACGTATTGATTACCATGAAAAAAATAAACGTATGTAATTCTTTAAAAACGGTAATGTAACAAATACAGTATCCAGGAGCCCTTTCCTTTCCTTTCTCCAACTGCCATCTTAAACCATCATGCTGGTCATGTTACCAGCTTGTTAGCCAGCTAAACATGACTGGACTAGGCTGTTTGTTATCAAACAAATATCTATCAGCCTGCAAGTAGAAGGGGAAAAATGTAGGCCTAGCTCCGGTAATATATCATAACTTTTGAATGGTTTTCTGCATTGTAAAGTCTGCCTAATCAGACTTGGCCGTACTCATGGTTCTCACAGGTGAGGTGCAATTAAGCGGTCGCTACCTCGTTCTTCAGTAAAGAGGAAATTCAGCAACATTTGGAGGACAGCAGGGGAGAATCTCAATTGGTTTTGCTCGACTCTTTGCAACCTCTTCTCCGTCCTCTCCTCGCCTGCTTTTAAAAGAGACTTTCATATTTTTCAAATGGCCTCCGATTGATCAGACTTTCAGAACTCATTTACCAATCACATCAGGTTTAAGAGCCTCCTTACTTTTTCACCTGTAAACCCCTGGTGAAGAGTGAAGATAAAGGCCCAAAATGCATTGGTTTTATCAACTGTTATCAACTTCCACTGTCCTCCAAGAGTTGCTGAATTTCTCCTTCACGCTCACAGGTGAGGTGAAATGATACAATGTATCGACTTTGCTAGTTGATGATTGCTGCTAAAATAATTAAACAATTATAACAACAGCCGGAGCGAACCGGACATGAAACAATAGCAACGTTAACAACTCTCTTTAGTAGGAATACAGGTACCCTACAACAGTGGTTCCCAACCAGGGGTACAAGGACCCCTGGGGGTACCTGGCCTATCGCAGGAGGTATTTGAGAAGACTCATGAGACCACAGGCCTACTGGTAAAATGCAAGAGGGGGTACTTCAGGGTTACTCCGGGAAGAGCAAAATTCAGTTGGTGGCACAGTAACCGAAAAAGGTTTAGAACTACTGCCCTACAGTAATGTAGTTCTTGATAAAGCTCAACAGTGTAGGACTACCTCATGTTTGCCCAATAAAGAGTGCTGTGCTGTGCCTGTCTCTAGACAACTTTGCAGTTTTTTTCTTTTTGAGGTGTTATTTTATCAGCTATAGTCTAATCAAGCCAGTTCTCAAGCCTTCTCAGGACTTTGGGACATATAATATTCTACATTTCCATAGATATAACATGCTTACATGCTTTAAAAGCCTTATCTAGTATTTCAAACATTTTAGGTGTTATTCCCAAATGTCTCTCATGTCTGACAGTTTGCAACAGTCCCATGCTCATGCCCCATACATCATAAGGTAATATGTTACTGCCCTCTGTTGGTGGTCTAAAAACATGTTAATAGATGTTTGCAAACATTGTCGCACAAGTTGGTGGCAGAACAAGGGGAGTGCTTATAGAATGCCAGCAAAGAAAGCCTCTATTTACATGTTGCTTATGAGTGCATTTCACACTACCTTTGGAATATAATTTGATTTTAAGGCTCGTATGAATGTCCTGCTTAATAATGTTTGTGTCATCACAAATCAACTGCATTATACATAAATACTTCAACAACTTCAACCAGTAAAATGGCTCTTTGGCTAGCGTTGGCTACAGCCTATATCAATGGTCGTTAGCATTCTAGCTAACAACAGCTGCATCCAAAATAGTTATTTTGCAAAGATCACAGCCAAATACGTTCTTAGCAACTGTTCAAGCAAGAATCAAAACATCATTGTAAGTGTATGAGAACCCCAAAAAGTGATTTTGTTTAGAAGTAATAACAACGTATGGGCTATGTTGAATGGGCGCAGATGGCGAAGGCTTTCTTACTGCCGCCAAGAGTTGCACTCATCTGTGCGTGATGTCAGTGTGTCGTGTACTGGAAAAGGGTCTATTGGGCAAAGTATTTCATGATTTGGTGCTCAGGACCATAATTCATCTTTATTGTCCCCCAAGATGAAATCGGGGAGGGGACTGTAGACCTGTCTCCGTGTCCGTCCTTAAGGATGTTCGTACGTTCTTTTGTCACACGCAATATCTCAGACAGCACTGGCCCGATTTGGTGAATGATGCGTCTTGCCATTGAGATCGGGCACAAAAATATATATACTGATTGGCCAGATGGTGGCGCTATAACAAGTGATTGAAAATGCAAATTCTGAACGGTCACGCCCCTAATTCCATTTGACCTAAAGTCATGAAATTCGGTGCATACAGTGCCTTTTGAAAGTATTCAGACCCCTTGACTTTTTCCACATTTTGTTACGTTACAGCTTTATTCTAAAATTGATTAAACAAATGTTTTTCCTCAGCAATCTACAAACAATACCCCATAATGACAAAGCAAAAACAGGTTTTTAGAAATGTTTGCACATTTATTAAAAATTAAAAACAGAAATACCTATTCAGAACCTTTGCTATTAGACTCGAAATTGAGCTCAGGTGCATCCTGTTTCCATTGATCATCCTTTAGATGTTTCTACAACTTGATTGGAGTCCACCTGTGGTAAATGCAATTGATTGGACATGATTTGGAAAGGCACACACCTGTCTATATAAGGTCCCATGGTTGACAGTTCATTTCAGAGCAAAAACCAAGCCATGAGGTCGAAAGAATTGTCCTTAGAGCTCCGAGACAGGATTGTGTCGAGGCACAGATCTGGGGAAGGGTACCAAAACATTTCTGCAGCATTGAAGTTCCCCAAGAACACAGTGGCCTCCATCATTCTTAAATGGAAGAAGTGTGGAACCACCAAGACTCTTCCTGGAGCTGGCCGCCCGGCCAAACTGAGCAATCGGGGGAAAAGGGCCTTGGTCAGGGAGGTGACCACGAACCCGATGGTCACTCTGACAGAGCTCTAGAGTTCCTCTGTGGAGATGGGAGAACCTTCCAGAAGGACAACCATCTTTGCAGCACTCCACCAATCAGGCCTTTATGGTAGAGTGGCCAGACGGAAGCCACTCCTCAGTAAAAGGCACATGACAGCCCACTTGGAGTTTGCCAAAAGCCACCTAAAGACTCTCAGACCATGAGAAACAATATTCTCTGGTATGATGACATCAAGTTTGAACTCTTTGGCCTGAATGCCAAGCATCATGTCTGGAGGAAACCTGGCACCATCCCTATGGTGAAGCATGGTGGTGGCAGCATCATGCTGTGGGGATGTTTTTCAGCGGCAGGGACTGGGAGACTGGTCAGGATCGAGGCAAAGATGAACGGAGCAAAGTACAGAGCGATCCTTGATGAAAACCTGCTCCAGAACGCTCAGGACTTCATACTTGGGCGAAGGTTCACCTTGCAGGAGTTCCTCCTGGTCTCTGAATATCCTTGAGTGGCCCAGCCAGAGCCCGGACTTGAACCCGATCGAACATCTCTGGAGAGACCTGAAAATAGCTGTGCAGCAATGTTTCCCATCCAACCTGACAGAGCTTGAGAGGATCTGCAGAGAAATGGGAGAAATTCTCCTAATACAGGTGTGCCAAGCTTGTAGAGTCATACCTAAGAAGACTCAAGGCTGTAATCGCTGCTAAAGGTGCTTCAACAAAGTACTGAGTAAAGGGTCTGAATACTTAGGTAAATGTGATATTTCCGTTTTGTTTTACATTAGCAAAAATGGATAAAAACCTGGTTTTGAACTGTCATTTTTGGGTATTGTGTGTAGATTGATGTGGATAAAAAACAATTTAATCAATTTCAGAATAAGGCTGTAACACAACAAAATGTGGGAAAAGTCAAGGGGTCTGAATACTTTCTGAATGCCCTGTAGGTCCCTCTCCTCACAAGGAACAATTTTGCCTCAGGCACTCATAAGGTCCACAATGATGAATTTTCTGCCATTTAGAATTTTGTGAAAAACACTTAAAATGCTGCTCCTCTGACACTGAATGACCGATCTGCACGAAACTTGACATGTGGCATCTATGTACAAAGGTCTCTCAATGCACTATTTTTCAGACTAGTACTTAAAACAACATGGCCAATAAATATTCACGTGGGCGTTGTCTAGTCTTGGATTAAGAATCACTTTTAATTGAGATTATCCATTAACAATGCTTTTAAATCCAGGAGTAGGTTTAATCTGGGTCCCGCAATCTGTCTCTAAAAGTAAAAACGGGGCTAATACGTTATAACAGAATATATGATTAACATGAACTGTATGGGTGGACTTTTCCTGCAGTCAATCGCCCTCTAGTGGCCTCATGGGTGGAATGTAATTAATATTTTTCATAATGTAATAATTATAACACTTTTTTAAACAGCCGAAAATCCAGTGTTTCGATGTCAAACAGTTTGTTATGTTTCAGTCTTCTGTGATGTATATAAAGTCTAATTTTGTGATGCAAACTCAAAATTGAATACATTTAAACACTGTATCTGACATGGTACAGGTGCCTTCTTTTTTTAAGCCCATAACCATGTGTGTGAAGTGTATACTTTTGTTTCTAAGTAGATTTGTTTAAGACTACCAAGAAACACTCCGTGTGACCCTGATTTAGCCCACTGCAGTAAAAGGTTAATCAAGATCATGTTTTGATAATATAAAGGCAAGTATCTTCATTTAATATTCTGTTTGCTTTGAAGGAAAAATGACCACACAACCACATTGGTCTTTGAGATGGTCCTTTATTCATTGGGCTATAAACAACATTTTGCATCACTGACATTCTCCATACCTGGCGCCAACGAAGGTGGCGGCCTCGCGACTAGCTCTTAGGAAACTTTGCAATATGTATATATGTATATATTCTTAAATTCCATTCCTTTCTTAGATTTGTGTGTATTGGGTATATGTTTTGAAATTGTTAGATATTACTTGTTAGATATTACTGCACTGTCGGAGCTAGAAGCACAACCATTTCGCTACACCCGCAATAACATCTGCTAAACACGTGTATGTGACAAATAAAATGTGATTTGATTTAGACTCATGAGACCCAATAAGTTATTTCAAGCAGAAAACAAATTAATATGGAGTGCATCTCCTCAAGCAAAGCATTAATTAGAAAATTATCTTAATTATACTGTCATGGCTACCTGTTTGGACTCTGATTCGCCATAACGGAGGAAAGTTACAAAATGCTCACAGTTGTGTCCAAGGAGGTCATATTCTATTGTGCGACCTCTCATTTTGTCCACCTCCTCCATAATGACGTCAGCCCTCCTTGGTTTGTACTTGCCATCCCAGTAGTTGTTGATTTTGTAAGTATTCCCTGCTGCCACATCCTTTAACGTCTGTATTGTAATCGTGCCTTTACAGGAAAGACTGCCGCTGGATGAGCTAACACTGCAGAAAGCTACTCTTGAAGGGCCATCTACAAAACAGGAAGAAATTAAAAAGTTAATGTGTGTGTGTACACATGTAAGTGTAATTGTGTGTTTTGATTAGAGAAATAAAGAGGCAGACAGAACTCAGCAGATACTGTATCTGACTGAATACATTCAAAAGGTTCTTACTCTATCAACCATGTTCAGATATCAGTTTTACTGTGCTGTTAACATTTGACTTCAGATGATGTTTACACTCTCCCCCAATTCTGGAATTGGAATATAGGCTTCCACAAATACATTTCCAGAAAAACATCATATCTGGAGTTACCAAATGGATGACCTCTCCATTTCCAATGTACAGAGCCCAGTGTTTGTATGTACCTCTGTTTATCTCAATCATGTCACCAATTCCACACAGTCTTGTTTTACAAATGTATTTTTTCTCACCCCTAACCCTAAGCCTATCCCTAATTCTAACTCTAAACCCCCTAGAAATAGCCTTTTTCCTTGTGGGGACCGGTAAAATGTCCCCAGCTTGGTCAAATGTTTGTTGTTTACTATTCTTGTGGGGACTTCTGGTCCCCACAAGTATAATTAAACATGTCCACACACACACACACACATTTGATGATACTGTTGATTAATAGTAATTACCATTATTCAAAGATCAACAACAGTACTTACTGTGGTAGAACTCCTGGTTTGTACAGTGGGGAAAAAAGTATTTAGTCAGCCACCAATTGTGCAAGTTCTCTCACTTAAAAAGATGAGAGAGGCCTGTAATTTTCATCATAGGTACACGTCAACTATGACAGACAAATTGAGAATTTTTTTTCTCCAGAAAATCACATTGTAGGATTTGTAATGAATTTATTTGCAAATTATGGTGGAAAATAAGTATTTGGTCACCTACAAACAAGCAAGATTTCTGGCTCTCACAGACCTGTAACTTCTTCTTTAAGAGGCTCCTCTGTCCTCCACTCGTTACCTGTATTAATGGCACCTGTTTGAACTTGTTATCAGTATAAAAGACACCTGTCCACAACCTCAAACAGTCACACTCCAAACTCCACTATGGCCAAGACCAAAGAGCTGTCAAAGGACACCAGAAACAAAATTGTAGACCTGCACCAGGCTGGGAGACTGAATCTGCAATAGGTAAGCAGCTTGGTTTGAATAAATCAACTGTGAGAGCAATTATTAGGAAATGGAAGACACACAAGACCACTGATAATCTCCCTCGATCTGGGGCTCCACGCAAGATCTCACCCCGTGGGGTCAAAATGATCACAAGAACGGTGAGCAAAAATCCCAGAACCACACGGGGGGACCTAGTGAATGACCTGCAGAGAGCTGGGACCAAAGTAACAAAGCCTACCATCAGTAACACACTATGCCGCCAGGGACTCAAATCCTGCAGTGCCAGACGTGTCCCCTTGCTTAAGCCAGTACATGTCCAGGCCTGTCTGAAGTTTGCTAGAGTGCATTTGGATGATCCAGAAGAGGATTGGGAGATTGTCATATGGTCAGATGAAACCAAAATAGAACTTTTTGGTAAAAACTCAACTCGTCGTGTTTAGAGGACAAAGAATGCTGAGTTGCATCCAAAGAACACCATACCTACTGTGAAGCATGGGGGTGGAAACATCATGCTTTGGGGCTGTTTTTCTGCAAAGGGACCAGGACGACTGATCCGTGTAAAGGAAAGAATGAATGGGGCCATGTATCATGAGATTTTGAGTGAAAACCTCCTTCCATCAGCAAGGGCATTGAAGATGAAACGTGGCTGGGTCTTTCAGCATGACAATGATCCCAAACACACCGCCCGGGCAACGAAGGAGTGGCTTCGTAAGAAGCATTTCAAGGTCCTGGAGTGGCCTAGCCAGTCTCCAGATCTCAAACCCATAGAAAATCTTTGGAGGGAGTTGAAAGTCTGTGTTGCCCAGCGACAGCCCCAAAACATCACTGCTCTAGAGGAGATCTACATGGAGGAATGGGCCAAAATACCAGCAACAGTGTGTGAAAACCTTGTGAAGACTTACAGAAAACGTTTGACCTGTGTCATGTAGTGATTGTGGACTACAGGAAAAAAAAAAGGACTGAGCACGCCCCCATTCTCATCGACGGGGCTGTAGTGGAACAAGTTGAGAGCTTCAAGTTCCTTGGTGTCCACATCACCAACGAACTATCATGGTCCAAACACACCAAGACAGTCGTGAAGAGGGCACGACAAAGCCTATTCCCCCTCAGGAGACTGAAAAGATTTGGCATGGGTCCTCAGATCCTCAAAAAATTCTACAGCTGCACCATCGAGAGCATCCTGACTGGTTGCATCACCGCCTGGTATGGCAACTGCTTGGCCTCCGACCGCAAGGCACTACAGAGGGTAGTGCGTACGGCCCAGTACATCACTGGGGCCAAGCTTCCTGCCATCCAGGACCTCTATACCAGGCGGTGTCAGAGGAAGGCCCTCAAAATTGTCAAAGACTCCAGCCACCCTAGTCATAGACTGTTCTCTCTGCTACCGCACGGCAAGCGGTACCGGAGTGCCAAGTCTAGGTCCAAAAGACTTCTCAACAGCTTCTACCCCCAAGCCATAAGACTCCTGAACAGCTAATCATGGCTACCCGGACTATTTGCACTGCCCCCCCACCCCATCCTTTTTACGCTGCTGCTACTCTGTTAATTATTTATGCATAGTCACTTTAACTCTACCCACATGTACATATTACCTCAACTACCTCAACTAGTCCCCGCACATTGACTCTGCAACGGTACCCCCCTGTATATATAGCCTCCCTACTGTCACTTTATTTTACTTCTGCTCTTTTTTTTCTCAACACTTTTTTTTGTTGTTGTTTTATTTTTACTTTTTTTGTTAAAAATAAATGCACTGTTGGTTAAGGGCTGTAAGTAAGCATTTCACTGTAATGTCTGCACCTGTTGTTTTCGGCGCATGTGACCAATAAAATTTGATTTGATTGCCAACAAAGGGTATATAAAAGTATAGAGAAACTTTTGTTATTGACCAAATACTTTTTTTCCACCATAATTTGCAAATAAATTCATTAAAAATCCTACAATGTGATTTTCAATGTGACTTTTTTTCCCCACTGTATGTGAATGTCTCACTGTTGATTGTGCCTTGTGAAAAAAACCTAGTCCTTAGATTACAAGATCCAAAACCTACATCCTGTTATTCAATTTACATCCTGTTATTCAATTTACATCCTGTTATTCAATTTAACTCTTTGAGACCCAAGCGTTTTTGCAACTAGCTCTACCTCTTGCTTATGTTTGTTTCTCAATAAAATGTTTTTTACACGATCACTACTTCAGACAGGAAACACCACGTAGAAATATGTTTAACCATTTAATTAAAGAATGAATAATGCAAGTCTTGGATGCAACAGCAAGTCTTGGCGACATGGGCTCTGCTCCTTCAGGTTAGCTCACTGCAGAAAGCATTGTTTAGATATGATCAAATAGACCAGCTAAAGCCATCCTACCATTACAAGACAGTATACTCTGAGTGAATATTAACCATGTGCAGTATGACCTGTGCAACGTATGTCTTATATTTCTCTTATGACGCTCCACAGGATTCCCTCGCAAGATAAACTGTTATCTTGGCATATGGGAATATTCTACATATCTTACTAGCAACAGTAAGCAGTACGAACCCAGCCGCCCTGGAGACACACTGAAACTAAATGAGTAATCATCTGGTGGGTCTACATTAAAATATCTCCTTATCTAGCAAGCAACCTTAAGCAATAACACAGCCAACCACCTGTAGCTATATGCAATGTACTTTATACCAAGTAGCCAGCAAAGTCGGCAACATGTAGGCTATTGACCATGTCTGACGCCATCATAGCAAACTTAATGAGGCATGATACTAGCAGGTAACCTCATCGTGTTTAGGAGTCTTCAATAGACCAGCGAATGACATTGTACCATTACATGGTTGTCTACCATGCATATGTGTGAATGCTAACTATGTAGGTACAATGTTAGCTAGCTAGCTAACATTAGGCTATAACTAGCAATGCAAATAGTTTTTCTATTACATCACAAATCATATACGTAACGTTGGCTAGCGAGCCAGCAAGCTAACGTTTGCTAGCTAGCTAACAGTACGCTTTAACTTGCAATGAAAACAACTTTCTGACAAAATGAGAAACGTATAATATCTGAAAATGTACTGTTGCTAGATTCTTACCCATATACATGTAACATTCAGTTTTGTTAGTAGCTATATCTTGTTTGGCCGTGTTGTGTCAAGTCACTCCGATTCACGCTGACCGTGTGCTAGCAAGTAGCCCATCACAACTGTTTTGTCGATAGCGCCTGCTAAATTTAGGATAGCAATGTTGTTGAGAGCAGTAGCAACACTTTTGCAGTTCTTCATGGCTAATGTTATATCTTTCAAAAAAGCCGCAGTAGCAGAGGTTATCTACACATACTGAGCAGCTCACGTTATAGACAGAAACATGCTACAATCCAAACTCATCTCCCAGCATGTCCAGCCCATCCATTATCTCAGCCAATCATGGCTAGCGGGAAGGTTGCTGTCTTTTTCCGTGGCTAAACCAACTAGGTTCATAATAAAACATGAATAATCGTAATTACAGATTGGATACAAGTTTGTTATTAAGGCACATGAAAGTTTGCATGTTTCAGAAGGCATTTGTTTTTTTAAGACGTTCAAATGCCTCTGATGTGAAGTAGTGACATGCGACATACACCTAGCTTCCTGAAACGGGTCACAATTGCTATATAAAATCTATTAAAATCCAACAGTTGTGAAGCTGAGGAACCAAAAAATAGAAGTGGTACTGGCTTTCATTAACTAGTTAATGTATTGGTTGAATAAAGTGTAAAGTGGCCTCCCGAGTGGTGCAGTGGTCTAAGGTATTGCATCGCAGTGTTGCGGCATCACTACAGCCTGGGGTTCAATCCCCAGGTGGTGCACAATTGGCCCAGTGTTGTCCGGGTCAACTGACTTTGGTTGTCAGTTGAACTGTGTTTCTTCCGACACATTGGTGCAGCTGGCTTCCGGGTTAAGCGAGCGGGTGTTAAGAAGCGTGGTTTGGTGGGTCATGTTTCGGAGGACGCATGACTCGATCTTCGCCTCTCCCGAGGACGCTGGGGAGTTGCAGCGATGAGACAAGCTCGGAAACACAAAATTGGGGAGATAAAGGGGGTAAGAATTACAATAAATAAATGTTAAAAAGTGTAAAGTAACATTATGAATACTTTAGGCTTAGGGGCTTCGCCTTAGCCTTAGCTGCCCCGCGGTCAGACCATATTGTGCAGGAGTGGCTTCGGGACAAGTCTCTGAATGTCGTTGAGTTGCCCAGCCAGAGCCCAGACTTGAACCCGATCGAACATCTC